GTACACCATCGCACGGACCGTGCGCAGGAAGGGTAGCCGTACGCAATGTAAGGCTCCACGGCACGGAGCATGTTCTCCATCGGCTTGTTCAGACGCACGAAAACTGTGTTGAAGATCTGGCGCAGACGCAGGAGCTGAAGGATCTTGCGCTGCTTCGGAGCCACCTTCGCAATACCGCGGATGCGGGTGACAACAGCCACCTTCGGCTTTGCCTCAAGGTAGTAGTTCCCGCGGCTCTTCGCCAGGCGGCGAAGGTGCACCAGCTTCTTCTCGGCGGAACGGTACTCACGGGAGTACTTGAGGCCACGCGCGTAGGCAAGCTTCTTCAGCGCGACCTTTGCGGCCTTGTTGGCAGCAATTGCCTTCTTGAAGTTCTCCGTCTGTTGCTGCTTGAACGCAGCGCGCTTGATGGCCGACTCCGGGGCAGGGACAGTCTTCGCGGGCATGATCGTTCGTTAAATGTAGGCGGCGCCGTGCTGCCGTATGCAAAATTAATTATTATTATTATTTTTTTTTTAAAAAATAGAAGAAGAAAGTGTGGGGGAAAAACAAAGGCATTTGTGAAGGCAGGAAGGGGCGAGACACGTGACTGAAAACGAAAAAAAAAAAACAGAGGACACAGCGAATAGGGGCGCTGCCATTGTACACGTTTGGCATCATCCAAATGACTTCTGCAGGCTGCGTATAAGGTACAGAAGAGGAAAAGCGAAACTCATCCAGCAGATGCAGCTGTAAATGAGAACTGTGGCCGAGTTCCGCACGAAGCCCACAAATCCAAGCTCCGTAGACTGGTAGAGCGCAGTCGCGCTGAACTTGCGTGTGTCGCCTCCCACAACAGCCGCCGCCACGGACGCAAATGGCACCACAAGGAGAAGCTCGAGGGGGGTGAGGAGCAGGTTGATACTTGTCGCCAGCGTCGCCTCCAGTGGGCGGCACCGCAGCACGCGACAGATGATTAAGGTGACAAGGCTCGTCAGCATCGGAACAGGGAAGACGCCCCCGATGGTTCCAGCAGAGAGGGCAACCATCAACCTGCCGCGGGTAAGCTCCCGGCACGGAACCACAAGACGGTGAAACGCGGCGTTGCTTAACCACTGCATGTGGAAGAGAATGTACTCACATTCTAACAGCAACAGTTAAAAGCAACAGAGAAAAACACAAAGAAAAAAAGTTTGTGTAAATAATGGAGAGGAGACGTAGGAAAATCCTCTTCCTCGTTACAGGAAACGCGGAGCGAAGAAGGGATTGTCAAGCTGCAGTAATTCGCCACCACGAGGAAGTCATTCACTTTTTATTCCTCCTCTGATGCAGAATAGATTCTTTTGTTTTACTTCAAGAAAGGAGTATATTTTTTCCAGCAGAAAAATATTGCAGAACCAAAAGCTTGCAACGCTCGTTCGCCCTGTTACTCTTTCCACGCACACGCACACAGACAGAGAGACAGAGAAAAAAAAAAGGGGGCAGTCCGATACATCAGGGTCCCTCCTCAACGGCGCACTTGTAATGCTTCGCAGTTCACTTGGCAGTAATTTCTAGGCCCTCATTTTTTAACTTTTTTCGCAGCGCCTTCTCTGCAAGAATGTCGTCCGCCATCTCCTCCGTGCATTCCTGCACCTCCACAACCTCCGGTATCCAGTGCATAAGCATGCGTTCAATACCGTTTTTAAGCGTCACACCCGCCGACGGGCACGACTTACACGCTCCTTCCAGCAACACGAAAACGGTGCCGTCATCCATGTCCACGTAGCGCACGTTCCCACCATCAGCCTGCAGCATAGGCCGTATGCGTGTGGCGAGTAACTCCTTGACAGCCAGAATCACCTCGTCATCGTCATCCTTTGGCTCAGTGTCGTCATTGTGACCGGCAAGAAGCTCTTCTCCGTCTTGCGAGAGGATGCTCACCTCACTCTCCGCAAACTGCGCGATACTCTCTTTTATGAGCGGCAGAAGCTCGTCCCAGTCCACGAGAGGAGCCTTTCGTACGGTGATGTATTCATCGGCGAGGTACACAGCCTCTACCCCATCGATGCTAAACAATATCTCAGCCAGTGGAGACTTGTATGCATGCCCAGCGTTTGGAAAGTCCATTGAGAAGCCGGGTTTCAGAAACGACAACTCCATCGAGTAGAAGCGCAAACAGTCAGGATTCGGCGTCTCACTCGTCTCAACTAAAAGAAGACGCTGGGACGTCCACAAGGGACTCACGGCACCGCCAACAGTGCGCTCCAGTTGGGGGTGCCAAGTTGAACCCTGCGGGCCACGCACCATGCGAATTGCAGACGACAATGCCCGCCGATGCACACACGGTCGAGCTGCGGAACGCGCGGCCAGCAGGCAACGTAGCGAGGCCCGGAGCATCCTTCACACTGCGAACAGGAAGTGATCAAGCAACGTAAAGCGGAGAGAAAGTGAATGCCCTATAACACACACATACACACACACACACACACACACACGCAGAGAGAGAGATAGAGAGAAGAC